GGTGCCACCCTGCTCCCAGGAAGAGCACAGAGGACAACCTGGCGAGCAAGAGAAGCGTGGGCAGGTTCGTAGGACCTCCACCAGCTACCTCCTGCTTTCCCAAATATTGCCTTTTCCCTTTAGGAAATCTGGAACCATAGAATGGCATCTGTCAAGCCGTAGGCACTTGAGAGTAAGCACCCATCAGAATAACTTACTGTCAAAAACAGGTACAAATTCATTTCATCCCACTTTGTGCCATATGCTGCTGTCAAAACTTCATGAACTGTTTAGGCAGCATGTTGGGACATTTTGACTAACTATGAGCAGAGCTATTTTTTTCATAGCTTTGTGTCATTGGTGTTTATAATTGGGTATTTCCCTGAACTTCCTTTGGTCTCTGAACAGATAAGACTGTAGAAAGTGAACATAGCTTTGAAAGGTGGGCACAGGCCAAACCTCTGGATTCACCCATCCCCATTTACTGTCCTGACAATGAACTGGAAATTGCACTGTACCACGTTGTTCAGGGACCAACTTTTCCTTCTATTTTAATGCTAATATTTGAAAGACGGGGTGATTTTTTTTTTCCCTGTGATTTGATGAAAACCTTGAATTTTGGATCAGACTGGTAACCTGAATCTAAATCTCATTTTCTGCTGCTTGAGCCCAGCTGTTTTGTTCTCCTGACAAGAAAATTAGCTAGCACACCCTTCACTATAATAAGTGGGAAACAGACCACAGGATAGGTAAAGAACACATTTGCTGTTTTATTGGTGCCTTGCAGGGCAATAATACTGAAAAAGGGGAATGCAAAAGAAACAAAAAACCAAAAACCAAAAACAAAAACCCAGGACGGTGGCAACCCACATTGTATTTTTTTTAAAGAGTACATCAACTCCTGTTTTTTTTCATTTATTGTGGCATGAATGATAACATAAAACCAAAACATGAAAATATACAACTTATATTACACTATGTGTTATGAACAAAATATAAATCTATAACTCTATGTTATATTTACATAATTATTTCTTTTATTAAATTTCAAGTGAGATGGTAGGTTGCACATACTTTGTTTTAAGCTCCAGGCATTTGATTGTCTCTATTTCTTTTCTATTTTCATTTCTTATGTAAAATCCAAAACGTTAGAAGGAGTAAGAGCTTTAGAGCCAATGGAGCTATATAAATACTGTTTCAGCAAACCAGTGACAAAAAACACTGGGGAGTAGAGAAATCAGTCAGTAGAAAAAACGAACTTGACATGTTCTTCAATCTGGGAAACTGACAAGTTAAGATAAAGTTGAAAAAATGTAAATATAAACCAAGCTAAACAGCCAGCCCATGCCCTGTGAATTGAGGATACACTTGAATCCACATCTAGTGAATCACACACAGTTCTCTGCAAAATGGAAGGTATGGTTCTACCGAGAAGTGGGCAGACAAAAAAACTTCCTATCCGATACATCATGCCCTTAAAACATAAGAAATACCATATAGTTGCCATTCATTCTAGCAGATGAATTCTTGCTAAGTAAGGTCTACGTTTCCACGGAGTATAATTATTTTTGATGTTATGAACGTGATGTCAGAGGCTTCTTCGGGGACAATAACAGCTCATCTCTTTGGATTAAAAAAGAAAAAGCTCTGAAAATGTGCTGTAAAAAGGTTAAAGACAATTTACTTTCTAAAAAATGATTTAATTAAAGAGAGTCTACTGCAGTAACCAAATCTTTGAAATAATGTCTTCGAAGAAAGAATTTCTTCCATATGCATTCGTAATAAGAGGATTTGGTTACAAAACTAATTAAATGCTATAATAATAGCTAGTGTTCTTTTCTGGGGGCCTGATTAATATAGCGGAACGGTTAAATAAAGATGTTAAATGCACTTAAAAATCCTATTTTACTAATATAAGGCATGAATAAATTGAAAAAGGATATACTCTGTGTTATTTAATTGAGCTTAGAAGCAAGTGCCTCAGTTTTTTTTTCTTCTTTCTTTTCCCCCTTTCCCCACTGCTGGCGGTGTTCTTTTGTAAGCTCGCAAGATGCACGGTGCAAGGGGCTCCCCCCCAGTTAGAAGGGGGTGTCCTGTATGCCCCACCCCAGGCAGCTCCCCAGGAGCACCCTCGCTCTCCAGGTTCCCAGGGGAAGAGGGGAACAGAGCCCGCCTTGGCATTAGGGCCTCGATGCTTTTAGGTTAATACGATCCTAATCTCTTCTAACCTGGTTTTTCTACATGCTCCAGGGCACAGAACCCAGGGAGAAAAAAAAAAAAAAGAAAAAAGACAAGAAGATCTTTTTATAAATGCATGTTTTGCTTTGTTTGGTTTTTTTTGTGGGTTTGGTTTTGTTTTGTTTTCCCTAAGAAATTAAAAAGGGACAAACAGGGCCTCGTTTTCAAATCTGGTCTTCTACTGCCGAAGGACACACAGGTGATCATCCTTGGACCCAAGAAAACATTAGCACAGGCTTTAAGTATTTTTCTGGTTTGGAATCCCAGAGCCGTTTTGCGGTGTTTTTTTTTTTCTTTTTAACATTTTCCTCTTTTGGCCTTTTTTTTTTTTTTTTTGCTTTTGTTTTTAACATTTCTGCATCGGTTTTCAAAAACACCCGAGAAAGCAGGAGTCTGCTAAGCCACCCTGGGGGAACCCCCAGCGTAGCCTCTCGGATGGAAATGTGTAGGGTGAGGAAACCGGCGTTCAGCTGAGCCCCAGCCCAGGCCGAGGGGGTGAGCAAAGCAGAGGGCTCTGGGAGAAGGTCCTGCTGGCCCAGCTCCTCCAGCACAGGAGCCACGCTGCCCACGGACACCGGGCTGCCTCCAGGAGCGGCTCCTGCAGCACAGCCTGGAGTTCGGGGCTGAAACTCGGTCCTGCTGAAGCCAAAGGGCCTTGTTCCCATTGACCTCCCCGAGGCTGGCTTTCCAGCCCCCCTGCTCCAATCGCACCTGCCGCAGTGGCACCTACCTGGAGCTAAAACAAAGTATTCTGGTAGCCCAAAAGTGACACAATTAAAACCATAGAGAGTCTCTATAACGTGGTGGAAATCAAGCATCCAGCAAATGTGAGGTGAACCCACAAGAGTCAGAAGTAATTTGTTCACAAAGACAGGGAACAAATTTAAAAGTTAAAAAAAAAAAAAAAAGGAGCAATTATCTGTTTTCACATTGTACATAATAATGATATAAAAACAACTGTCTATTTTTTTTTCCTTCTTATCCAAACAGAGTGCTTAAAAAAATTGGCTCTAGATGACTGGTGTAATTAAATAACTAAAATGAGTGATGAGAGAGCAGAAGTTAATTAAGATTGAAAACAACACTCCCATTAATTCACTCCATCATAATAAACATCAGAAGTTGACATGGCTGGGGCCAAAATTAAAATAAAAGAAAGAGAAATGGTGTGAGCAGAAGAAGAAGCGATTTGTTTTCATATGTATATATATATATATTTATATATATATAAAAAGGCAAGGTGGGGAGGGGTATCCATTTTAAATAGCCTAACAGCTTCATTTGCTGCACTGCCAAATTAGAACAGAATAAAATAAAGTTAAAAAGGGGGGGGTGTAAAATAAATTATACATAATTTACTAATCTGGGAACAGCTGACCATTATTATTATTATAATTACCATTACAACACTAGCAAGAAGAGGCAGTTCAACTGAAAAAAAAAACCCAACACAGTCATAAAATACAAACAAAAAGAACCCTCTTTGACATGGAGGATATGATCAGCTACTCCAAGCATAATTTCAGAGCAAATCTTCTGAGAGAGAGAAAATAGAAAATAATTTTTTGAGGCAGAGTTGGAAAACAAAACAGGGAAAAGAGGAGAAAAATAAAACAGATGTTGCAGAGTAAAACTATCACGTCCAAACTGCTCATTGGAATATTGTCCTAAGTCTTCAATGGCATTTGCTTGTTTGCTTTGCACGAGGTCTGCAGAAGTCAAGTTACACTTCAAGTGGGATTTCAAGAGGCAAAGAAAGGCATTCCCTCCCTTCCCGGTCTCTCCTTCTACCTGCCCCTTTCATCCTGCACCTGCCTGACTGCAGCGAGAGCTAAACTGCCTGATGAAGGGACCATTTGTAAAAGCAATGTTGCCAAATACTGATGACCAGGGTTCTGGTGAATGCTTGGGCTGGGATCTCACTGCCACTAAGATACACAGGGCTAATTTTACAAGTTAGAGGTGATGACAACAGCAATGGATCTCCCTCTGGGAGTAGGAATTTACCAGGAAATAACATAAATATAAAACTGGCATCCATCCCCAGTTGGAAAACCAACTCAGAGGAAGGTTTTTGCCTCAGTATGATCCTAAGACTTTCCTTTACAGGCAACAGAGCAGCTCTGGGATAGCTGCTGTTTGAAATTTGGAGTAGTATTTATGGTTGGTTGGTCAGTTTATCTAATGCTTCTGTCTTGCTACACAAACCAGGGTCCTCTTCTCCTACAGGAATATTACAGTGAGGAGATGAAAAGAAACTCTAATTAATTTATATTTATATTCTTCCCCCCCACAAAATAAAGCATGACATTCAATTACATTATCAGAAACGCAAACTTCTGCTCAGGATTAGACTTGTGTAATTCCACCTTCCTCACCTGGTTGTCATTGCCCAAGGAAGACAAAACTGCACAAGCAAAATATCTAAGTGCTCTAGAACAACTCTGAAAATATTTTAGCACAGGAGAGTAATTTTTCGGTTGTGAGAGGCAGCAGCTGGGGAAACTCGGCACCACAATAGGTTTGGGTTCTTACATGCCCACTTTGAACATGGAAATCTCTTTGTAGCTATTAGTCTTCCTTCCTACACAAACATCCCACAGACAAAAAAAAAAGGATTTCTGCCAATGCAAAAAATATCAGTTAAAAAAAAAATTGCCTTTTGAATCAGAAATCAATACTCAGCCACCCTGAAGGTATGAGTTCATCAAAACTGGACATGGTTGGTGGTAACCTAATCATGCTCAGCGAGGAAGTAACATTTCCAGTTGCCCTGTCCTGTGCAGAACAAGCCACATTTTGGACAAGCCTTTTTTATGTCATTTATTATGCCACTTGAAGTGTAAACTAAAAGCAAAGGCTCCTTACAGACCAAGTCATTTGGAGGGTGCAGGACTTCATTCTGGAACATGCTTTTTGCTCACAATAGTCCAAGATTATTCTTATTAGTACCATAAACACGCACACATGAAAATCCAAGACCATAAAATATTTTTTCTCTAAATTTCTTATGTCTCTCTCTCTCTCTCTTTTTTCACCTGAGAACGGCACCTACAGTTTCCTTTAAAAAGCAAAACCAAAACCAAAAATATATGTCTAATCTCACCAGCTGCTGGTATATCAGGTTCTTCGAGGGATTGTCTAAGATACAACACTGTCCTAACTTAAGACAGAGCAGAAAGCAAAGAAAAAGCAAAAGAAAAACAAAACAAGAAGAGAGCAACCTAAAAAAAAAAGCAAATTGGACTAGTTCAGCGCTTTAGTACAAATTTGGCACTTGCTCAAAGACTCAGTATGGTGTGCAACTGATGAAGAGAAGTCCTCTCTTGAAAGGAAATAATTGCTTGTTGGGGTTAACAGAAACAGACTCCCCACTTCCCTCCTTGCCAGCCACGCGCACAGGCACGCACACACACGCGCACACACACACACTTCTGACCCAGATTTGACAGGGAGGAGGGGGAGGAGGAGACAGAAGGGGGTTAAAAGGAATTTTATCTTTTTTTCTTTTCCTGTCAGGTGCATTACCAAAAAAAAAAAAAAAATTATTTCTCTTTAAACTGTAGCACAAAACAACAAAACACATTCACAAGCCACTTGTTGGCACTGTGTACCTGAGTGAGAATTTCTAGAACATTGTAGAACAAACAGCCATAAAGTTTATTTGAAAAAAAAATAATAATAATAAAAGGTCGACGGGTAAGACTTCAGTGCTTGGGTATAGCAGCTGAATTACTGGCATTATTTTACCCATAGCTTATATCATTCTGTTGTTGTTGTCGTCGTTGTCTTTGTTTCCTTTCTTCTGAGCCTTTTTTCTTCTGATGCAGGCTGATGTCTATTAGTCAGCTGATGTCCCAACTAGTTAAGACTAACAGTTAAAGTAACAGTCAGTGTATGAGAAAGTTAATGTGCTTGGCCACTGGCAAGGATAAACCAGATGGGGCTTTATTTATGTTTTTTTTCTTTTCTCCTTGAAGTCCTGTAGGTCGCGAGACACTTGGACCCCGATCAGTTGGCTTGCCCCGCAATGTGATTTTCACTGTCACTGCCATAGTCCGCATCGGGGTCATCCTCCTCCTCGTCGTATTCATCGTAGATTTCTCCATTGACGTCGTCGGTCTGCATCTCCTCCTTGATATGAGGCTCCTCGCCTTTGATGCCGTAAGTGCTCTGGATGACGGGCATCCCGGGCTCCGGGCTGCTGGACACGCTCGAGTGCTCCGAGGGCAGATGTGGGGAAGGCATTCCTGCCATGGCAATGGCTCCTGGGTAAACTACGCCCGCGGTGGCAATGGGGATCTGTGCTTGTTGCCTGCCACGGAGAAAAAGGAAAAGGATGTTTGAGTACTGGAAGGAGTAAAGGGAGGGCAAGATCAAAAGAAATTTGCAAGCCAGTAGCATATATTCTTGGGTATGCAGAGAAAGTCCCTAGATGGCCCATGCAAGACAGCCTTTATATCAATATTCCATCACCAACTGATGCTCTAGAAATGAACATCAAGCCAAACCAACTTCACTGACAAAAAAAACCTCTGTAAACATCTCTAGCTGTACCTGTACTAGGTTCCAGCTTGCCTTGCTTGTGAGGTAAACTTCTTTTCTGGCTCAACTGGGTGTCCCATGAGCTGCCAGTCAAAAATAAACTTCCTTGCAACTCTGGTCCAACTTAAAACCCATGTATTTTGAAAATCTTCCTTTTAAATAATCCATTCTTCGGGCAGGACTAGACATAAAGGTAACACATTGCCAGCAGCAGAGATGGAGCAAGGACTATGTAAATTGCACAGGAATGGGGAGGTGCTGTGGGAAAATACCAAGGGATGAGGAGAAAGCAAGGCAGGATTCTCCAAAGAGACAATGCTTACTCCACATTCACTCAGAGACCTGGCTACTATTAGGGAGAGGAACAGTGAGCTCTCTGGGGCCAGCATGGGTTTACAGGTTGATCACTGAAGGCCTCCCACTGGAATGTGATAGTTTCCACTGGGAGCGGTCCTTGTGAAAAGCAGGCTCTTTGAAGGAAGATGGATAAAATTGGGAAAAGGCAGACTTAAAACGGAAGCAGGCATTATTTAAAAATAAATAAAAAGCAAGCAAGCAACATGAGCATTTGAGAAAATCCTCTACAGGATGCCTTTATACAGCGTCTAAGCCTTGGAAACCTGTCTGCAGTAATGAAAGAAGAATTATTCCAGGCCACAGAAATTCCCTTTGCATCAAGAACACTGGCTGTGTTATACTAGTGTTTGTTTCCCTGAGAAGCTTCAGAGTCCCAACAAGCCTAGAGGTTTAAAATTCATGCTCCTTTTGTTTCCTTGCTGCATGAAGTAATTCCATTGCAGTAATACTCTTCAGTACATGCTGCACATTGTAATGTCATCAGCGGTGTGTCCATCTGCACTGAAAAGCCTTGCCACAGGAGACAGGGCAGAGTCTCTTGAGATGAACATTCTTAATTAAGAATGAAGCCCTCCCCTGTTCCCCTGCCTGCCTGTGCCCTGGCTGTACAGTAAGCCTCGCACAGTACAGTGATCCTGAAAGACTTTCCACTGCCAAACAGCTTTACATTTGTTTGGAATCACTGCTGCATTTTCAGATACTTCCTGCCTGCCACTGGAGTGAGGCCTCCCTCCACACAGCCCTTATTTCTGTGTTCCTGAAACAAGTCAAAGTTGTCTCAGCTGAAGATACAGCTCTTAAAGTAGGGAGTGAATCTAATTTGCATTTTATTCTTAATTCAATAGAAAGACTTTTGTTTTCTGGAGTCAGCATTTCTGCAACAAGATTCAGCACACTTAAATTGCTTTTAATATTTAACAATAGGAACACTTTGCACTTAAATGGTGCTTTTCAGAGTGCTTTTCAAATATTAAATAATTTAAGAATGGTATTTTTCCACCTCTGTAGGATGTCCAGCCCAGAAGTTCTTGCAGCAGTCCTCAGATACTAATGTATAAGGGCTCTCAGCAGTCCAGTGAGGTGAGCTTGCCACGCTACCCACTGAAGATGAAGACACTGAGATAGGAAAGCATTAAAAAACACTCTTAAAAAGTCCTTCCCATCGTGATGCCTTCAGCATGCCCCAGCAGCCGGCACAGCCACAGCTCCTGTAAACCAAATCACTTATTGTGGTGCCCAGGCAGGAGCTGGGCTGGTGTTTAGAAGTTTGCCCTAAATGACCTGTACTGGGGGATGCAACAGATGGGGAACTAAAACCAGGAACGCAACTGTAGTGCCATGACTGCTGGCATCACACACTGACCCCACTGCAGCCATGGGCCACTCTGTCAGTAGCTTTTATAGAGATTTCACCCCAGGTTCTATGCCCCTATGCCCCAGTGCAAATTATCTCCAGAAATGTCTTGATTTCAATGTCAGCCTTGTTTGGAAAGCTAAACAGTAAGCAGAATGTTACAAGGTTAATTTTTTTTCCCATGATGAGGCATGCATGTTAACCAGATAAGCAGTGTTTTGGGGGCTCTGTTGCCACCTATTCTTTTTCCAGAAGGCCCCCTCCTCTTTTTTTAATCTCTTGATGCCAAATGTTGGCTGACTTCCCTGTGTTTGTTTCAGTGCTTACCACTGGGATCACTGGACCTGCCAGCACCACAGGGTTAAGCAGCTCAAATTTCTCTGCTGAGCGGCTTATTATAACAATGCACACTGTAGCTGTTTTAAACATAGTCTGATGACACTTAGCAGTTGCTGGACAGATATTCTCTCCTTTATTGCTACTTCTAGCAATTAACTAGAGAGATGTGCTACTCAGTTAACATTAAAAGGATTCAAAATTCAGATGAACAGAACACAAATTTCATTATTTCAGAGGGTCGCTCTTGTTGCTGCTTTCGCTCTTTTTAAAACCACTGTGTAGGCTTTTACTTTTCAGGGGTGAATATAGAAATACTGTGGAATATTTGATTACTTCCATTTCTTTTTGATCTGCTGCAGCCAAAACCAAGGAAGGTTTCCTTCTCTGCAGAGGGCAAATACATGCTACTCTTCGAGGCAGATATTAATCTAATCATATCAAGCTGATCTATTACCTGTTTATCAGAACTGGTCTTCTTAAAATTTATGCTCAACACAAAGCATTTAGCTTACTGCTATAAGACACTCCCCAGTATAACAAATGCTGTCACAATGAACAACGCAGACAACTTCATGCCTGATATGAATTAACTGAGCCAAGTCCACATTCCAGCTCAAATAAAGTGTGTTCAGCAGTCCTTTTTGCAAACCACTTGTCACAGATCATACTGAATGCAAACTTGTAATTTTGGCTTTTGGATCACGAGGCACTACCACAGATTCATTCAGATATACTCTCTCAGGCCTCATAATAAAGTAATAGTTATAAGGCTTTATTATAGAAGACTTATGTTTCATTGGAAAATCTTAAGGTTTTTTTTTTTTTTCATGATCAGAGTGGAAACGAGACACTTGGCTGAGGCTTTAAGATGAGCATATAGCAGAGCCAACAAAAAGATCCCTAACTGCCTAACTTCCGCCTGGAACACGTTGTTATAAAGTTTAAGCTTCATTTTCTGCTGGTAGTATCTAATGTTCCTGCCAATAAACGATAACATTTACCGCACCGAATTAACAATTCTCCCTGAATTTTTTTTTTTTTTTAATGAAAAGAGCAGTAGTTTTTAAAGGTCCCATACCCAACATTAAAATACTGCCTCATCTCCTGGCGTCTGTTGCGCATGATAGCCTTGTACTCGCCAATGCGTAGTTTTTTGCCATCTACAAGGCAGGTACGCTTCGGCCTCGGCTTGTATTTGTAGTCTGGGTATTTCTCCAGGTGCTGTTTGCTGAGTCGGGCCTGCTCCTCATAGTATGGCTGCTTCTCTAGGTTTGTCATAGCTTTCCAGCGAGATCCTGTCACCAAGGGAAAAAAAAAAAAAAAAATTAAAAAAAAAAATGAGATTCTACTCATCCCCAAACACTGAAAGGCAGAGAAACAAGTAGGTCACCCAGAACAAGATACCTACGGTCATATCGCTTTGGGCTGGGAATCTGTCAGAGCTTCTAGACAGGGGTCAGGTCTTGTTTGTATTTTACTGGTAAACCTCTTGGTTATGGCCAGGAGGCAGAGAGATGGCACTTGAATTTTTGACTTAATATTTTATTGAAATTTATCTACATTATAATGCCTTTCAGGTGGGAAGCAAAACCATTATCCTGATAATGGGCAATCCCTGACACTTTGTTTTAGAAAACAAAGTCGCATATTTTAGAGGAATGTCCAAAGACTGCTTAGATACACAGAGTCTGCTCTGCTGCGTCCCCACACTTTTACTTGACCATGGGCCTGTTTTCACCTCCTGTCCAGAGGAGGTACCACTCCTGTGCTGCCATCTAGTCACCGTGATCCACCACGGCTGGATCAAGGCCTGAACTTGGGACAGCTCATGTCCACAGCTTAACTGTTCATGACAAACACAGGATCTTTCTGGCTTCCAGGTTTGTGAGAAGTAGAATACGAAGTGATCGTAAATGCTATGCAGTCAGGTACAGGAGCCTGCAAAGAGCCTGAAGCAATGCCTCTAAAAGCTATGAACTATCCCATATGTCTCATCAGGGTTTTAACTCCAAGACCAAGTCCTGGGGAACACTGCCAGCTCCAACTTATGGAATTTAGTGTGTGTCATGAAGGGAAAAGCACTGGGATACTGGCACAGGTCTGTGCAGAGTTGCACTACGGCTTCATTGCTGGCAGTCTTGTTTTCTGCCTATGTTAATGTGGATAATAGAGCTTGGGCATATAATGAGGACTTTGCAACTGTTTTCGAATACCTCCTGAAAGTTATAAACTAATATTTCTTAAAGGACATAAATATGAGAGCTGAAAGTAAAACTTCTTGAATCAGTTACCCTATTTTATTTTCCCATGAAATATGGAAGTGCTTCAGGCTAAGATACATTTCAAATAACAGGAATGATCCAAGCTGTGAAACATGTGGCCTAGAAGGAAAACTTTATTGGAAAATAGTCAATTTTCCCATTGGAAAGAAAGTTTGAATAGTTTGTCAATGTAATGGGTTCATAATGTCATATCTCATACTTTCTCTTGTTCTTCGTTTTTATGGTTACTCATACTGTACCTAGCTCATGCTATTACTCAGGTTGGTCTTAGCTCACTGTGCCCCCAAGACTGGCAATATAGAGAGCACAGTTACCCCTTCCCAGGAAAGAAAACAGTTTTATTCACTCTAGAAAGGCCTCTTCTGATTATTGACACCATCTCCCCCATTGCTCTTTGAATCTTTTCTCCAGAAGCCCAAACTGCAGCATGGAATAAAGGGCTGTTAGAGCCTGACCTCGCACCTAGAGATAAGTGACTTGTAAACCAGCGACGCCTTCATTCTGAAGACAATGAACATCTCTTTCTTAACAAGCACTGATTTGGAGTCAAAACTGTCATTTGTCATGATATTTACAACACGTAACATGCAGAGATCCCCCAGCTAGTCCTGGAATGGGAAGCAGTTTAATGACATTGTTATTAGCTTAGGCACAGCACCATACCAGCACGACTAGGTGGCTTCTAGGATTTGGACTGAAACTCCTGCACAGCTCTTTGTATGTCATACTGAGGTAGTGTCTGTACATGGGGATCTGTGGCTGTGCTCTGTATTACACAGAGCAGCAAAGCTCTGCGGACAGAATCGCAGTCAGCAGCCTTGTCTCCCACAGAGAAATCATTCCAAGCTTTTTCTGGCAAAGAGAGCGGCTAGAAAAATTGACACCAACTTTCCACATATAGTACCTCCTAGATTTTGGGCTGAATGACACAGTGGTAAACCTGTGGAGATTGCCAAAGCACTGCACACCTCCTAATGCTGCAGAAGATGGAAACATAGATCAGGCCTGTGTTGAATGATGTTAAGAATTCAGGATAAAACAAGCAGGTTCCACTGGAAGATGCCCAGATGTGGTTCTGCTTTCAAATTCTACCTCACAGACACTGGTACACTGGTGTTTCAGCATACAAAGAAAATCATAGCAGCTAATCTAAAGCTAGAGTCCTCTAATCACAGACCTGCTGAAATCCTAGTGCCTTAGAAAACCTGCCCCAGCTTCTTTTCCTGCTGCTGAATCAGTTTTTATTTATGAATAGAAAAGTTGAAACCCTCAGTCTTTAAACAAATGTTGACATTTGCTTTATATGCTGTGAACGGATCTGCAGTGTAGGAACTCAGACATATTCTGAGATAGACAGGTGGACAGAAAGGTAGAAACTGAAGGCAGTTGTTGCAGAATTGCCATGAAACTGCTCTATTCCAGCACGGTTCCTCTTCTGCTGTGTTAGTTCACTTGCTGCAATCCTACACTCAGATCTGGGCAGGCAGATTCCTACCTCTTAATGTGAAAAGACCTGTAAATAGTAGGTGAAGTTAGGCAAACACACAAGTCTTTGCAGGCTCAGGGCCATAAAAAGTTAAATTTTTATGCATAATATTGGTACATACAGTTACACATACAATATTTATATATAAATGTCATTTGTCATGTTTTCCCTGGCAGTTTCACCTCTCTTCCTAGAAAATTTTTAATAGCTGCCTTCTGCAGTGATACCTCCTCTTACTATGACTTCAGTGTTTTTACAAAATATACTAAATATAATTTACTAGTATGTTTTGAAGTATCATACATAATTAAACAAACAATGTCATCAAATTTTAAAAAAGGGCACATTTTCTGTTGATAAACCCTTGTTATGTACATTTTATCATTTTCCCTTCTTAGTCACACACATAATCCAACCAGCTCTCTGACTGGTCTTAATCTGAAATTTTCAAAGTTTGAAGAATACATAACTCTGATCTTTGAATTTGAAGCCACAGTTCAAACTATGAATGAGTACTGCCAATCAACATACTAAAACTGGTTAAGAATACCTTATGTTTGGATGAAATACATTTGTAATAGCTTTATCTGTCATTGTTTTTTGTGTCTGTAAACACACACAGGCAGGCAGGGGTACCTATGCACAATGTCAAACCCAAGCCCAAACAAGGTATGATCAAAGAATCTTGAAAAATCTCTCTTTTTAAGGGAAGATTTACACTCTTGGGTGAGCTTTCCGCTCACCATCTGTGTTGGAAAGCTTTGAGTGGGTCAAGTATGCAAGGCTTTCTCCTTGACTATGAAAACAAGAACCCGTTCCCCTCCCTGGATGAATACATAATGACAAGCAAGATTCTTGCACAATTCTCTCTGATCTGGTGGCTGAAATATTTAGGGGGAAAAAAAAAACCAAACATTTACAAGACTTCAGTACCAAGCATGGCTTCTGCCCCCAAAGTGAGGTAGGGCAGTTAGAGCTGTGCTCACACAGCTGTGTGTGACTGTGAACACATCTGGAGAGGGCAAATATTAGAACCCAGGGCAGAAATGAGATGCCCTCATGTATGCACAGACACTTGTGTTCAGGCACACACCTGAGCATATTCAGAGCTCTGCCTGCATGTTCAGAGCTCTGCTTATCGCTGATTTTAAGCCAAGTTTCTCTGATAAGAATTTTCAGCTCTCTGCAATATTCTCACACTTTTAGTCCATCAGACTGACATTTTTCGATCTGAGTACCTGATTCAGGCTGATTTTATGTTTAATAAATACCCTCACATACACAAACATTTGTATAATGTATAGGTATGTGTATAGGTTTGTATTCACACACTTACACATCCCGAGAGAATTTCCGAAGGCAGTGTTTAACTTCACTGTTTCCTAATATCTTCATGTAGATTTCTCAGTGAAATTAATTAAAATATTTACAAAAAGTTCTAAACAATGCATTATTAAATTGATAGGGTCCAGCAGACCCACTTTAGCACTTTTTTAACAATTTACTAAAAAAAAATCATTATCCGCAAGTTTAAGTTGCAATGAACAGATGGATGACAAACGTATGCACAGATGAATTTAGTGACAAATCCGTGTATCTAATTTTTATGCTCCAAACATAATACCACAGTGTCAAACATAATCCCTAGAGAATTCTAGTGCTGGGAAGGGCACCTCCTCTCATTTTACTATAAAAATGACCCTCGATCAGTGAGAACTCTATCTAAGCTGCTCTCTGTGACAATGAGCTCTCTGACCTCAATGTGTAGCAGTGTTGCTGGAAAAATGGGAAGGAAAAATTGTGGCTTTCTAATAAGGAGACCCTGATACCTGGCTGAACTGTAAGCTTCTAGTTGCTCACCCTACGCCAGTTAACAGACAGCTCCCTGCTGACTTCAAAAAACTGGCCTTTTGCAGTTGAGGGAAGACCTTTGTAACGTTTCTGTCAAGAAGGAAGACGTCAGGACATCCCTCCCCATTGCAGAAGTAGAATGAAAAAATTAAATGTGATGCTGGAAAGAAATAGAAACATCATCTCTCACTGCCTCAGACCTTGCTTTTCCCCATATCTGGCAGCAAAACAGAAAGAGTTTGGAGTCAGCTATACTGTCTGTCACCTCAACAGGATCTGTAATGAATTTGCACATTTTACTCCAACTACTGTATATCTAATCAGAAAAAGATGTCCCCATATCTTCCTGATCTAGTGCCAAATAGTAAAAGGTGATTCCTTATGTTAACAATTTCAGCAGAATGGCTTATTAAAACCAGATTTTAGGGTATTATAAAATGCTTAGAAGCCCTTTAAAATGTCAACCAGGATCCCCAGAGACTGCGTAAAATGTCAGCCCAGCTCAAGCGCCTGTTTTAAGCAGAATGAATTAGCAGCGTGCTGTCGGAGGTTGTTATCCAAAACAATCAGTTAAGAGGGAAAACATCAAGCTCTCTTTGTACTTTCTATATGAAAAGGGCCATTCAGAATGATCTTGTAGATTTCTGAAGCTGATTATTTAAAAACAGGTTTAACCAGGTCTACTCTCAATTTAGAAACAGACCAAAACTATTACTGCCCTGTCCTCTGGCTAATCACATCATACACCTCTGACCAGTATAATCCCTTTTAACCAGTATAAGGTTATTTTACCATCAACATAACCAATTTAGCCTTCTAATCCTGTTCCCATAACTAATCTAATCATCTTGTGCCACCCTTTAAATCACGGGTTAATATCATCACATCTGCCATCCACAGCAATACATTCTGCCACTCCAACCAATTTATCTCATTTCCACTTGCCCCCTGCTAACTTTTCATAATACCACTCTCATCAACACAAGCCTCAAACCTCTGACCAGTCTAAACTCAGCCTATTTACCAGACCTGCAGCTGGTTAATGCTGCCATTACATTTCTTGAGTAGTCTGCAAAACCACTGAGACCTGCAGCCCAGGTAAACATGTTCTCTGCTTAGCCACTGGCCTGAGGGATGCTTAGGTCCTGTAACAGTTTTTCTCAGTAAAAATTCAACATCTCTAATTTGGTCACAGATTATTTTTTTTTATTTTTCTTTTTCTCCAGAACAGTGATTCATGGGCCTCAGAGAGCCTTATTAGTCACCTGCTTTATCATTCAGCATGTCACAGAGGGGTGACTTTGGACAGAACATGGTGCTGAGAATCTGAGCAAGTAGTGAAAAGTTGGAAGACTATGGCATGAGATTCAGTACATGACATTCATCACAAATATTGCTTGGAATGTAAAGAGCAGAGGATATGGAAACTAGATCCAATGTTTCCTTTTTTCTTAATTTCAGGGCTCTTATCAGACTATGAGAGAATGAAAAATCACCCACTGTAGAAGAAGACTCAATTCGAGAACCTAAGGGTGCACAAGTCCATGGGACCTGCATGTCCATGGGTCCTGAGATGCATCTGCAGGTCCTGAGGGAACTGACAGGTGAACTGGGGTTACACTGTTGCTGGACAAGGGAAGAGTGACCAACATCATCTACCTGGACTTGCGCAAAGCATTTGACACTGTCCCACATGACACCCTTATCTCTAAACTGGGAAGACATGGATTTGATTTATGGACCCCTTGGTGGATAAATAATTGGCTGGATGGTCACACTCAAAGAGTTGTGTTCAGCAGCTTGATGTCCAAGTGGAGACAGAAAGTTCTATGGCACAAATCAAATAGTGTAGTGTGCTACCTCAGAGAAACTATATAGATGAAATATGTGGGCAAATAAATGACAGCAATTATTTGTGTTTGTTCAACAGCCTAATGAAATGAACTGTTTTTGTCTATTCAGTTCATGTTTTCAAACCAAAATTACCACTACAATCTCAGTAGTTACAAAGACACAAGAAGATGTCAGGTTATGCTTAATGCATACTGCTGGGTAGCACAGTGGAAGCTCATATCACTGTTGTCCTTGGTGCAGTGATGAAGCCGCACAATAGAGAGACAGCACTTCCATTGTTTCAGGTGCTCGGCTCTATTAATTAAAAATATTTTTGAGTTTTGCTCTGAAGGAACAGTGCTCTATCACTCTTACCTAATATCTTGCTGATGTTGGAGTTGTGCATGTCAGGGAAGGCTTGAAGGATCTTCCTCCGTTCGTCTTTAGCCCACACCATGAATGCGTTCATTGGGCGTTTGATATGGGGTTCATTGCTGCCACGCCCTCTGGATTCCCGATAAATTCGAGACTCTGAGACTCCTGCACTTCCTAAAAAGAAAGAGAAAAACATTCCCAGCTTGTTTTTCATTATGCAGCTACCTCTGCCTTTAGTAACCCATGTCAGGTGCTGCACATTCAATGAGTCCATGTTCATAATAGGTTAATGTTAAATACATTGTATATTGTCTAGTTTAATTACTCTGTTAATTCTGTGTCACATCGTATAGTCCTGATGAAGAGTTTAGACTGTTTTTTTTCAATACAAAGCATTAAACAGCTTTTCTAAAATATGTTTTACTGCTCAATAACATAAAGCCTATATTTATCAATGTAGATTTACTTTTTACTTTCTTCCTTTCTTGCTTAGAGAATGCATATGTTACCCATCTTCTATCTCTTTTGTGAGAGAAAGGGAGTAATATATGGCAACATCAAGCATTTCTTCTTAAGCAATTCTCTAACTAGCAAAAAAATACTTACATATCTGCCTGTTTTTCTGCTGACATCTCCATAAGAATATATGCAATAGCAGAGAAACAAACAAACATTATGCTTGCTTTATCAAACCAATAAAGTTCCCACAGATTCAGAGCACGCAACACTTGTGGAGGATCAGGTCTATACTTCAGGGATTCCCTGTGTGATCTCACTTATAACACATATATTTGCCCTCTTTAGTCCCTTTTACTATCAGAAACACATTCTTGGTCCCTTCTTGAGACCTTCAGCATACAGAGGGAAGGCTAAAAATCAACCTCCAGACTTAAAACGCCCCATGATGAATCACTTTTTCCTGCCTTCTTTCATAGCCGCTTATTGCTAACTGCTCACAGGCCTCCAAAGCACTTGGATTCTCCCCCAGATCCCGCTGATACGCACACACAAACCTGGAAATTAGGATAAGCCATTTGTACTGACCGTCAGAATCTCCACTCATGTTGAAATCCATCATTGCGTGGCTAAACTTTCCGTCTTCACTCTGTTTTACTGCCAACTGCTGAGTCAGGGTCTCCAGTGTTGTTTTGTCCTATATGGGCAAGATGACGGGATTTGGATCAGGAAAATAATTAAACGTTGCAATCGCAAAGTTCATGTGTAATTTAGAAGGTTGACAGGGAAGTTGGATAAGCATTCACAACAGTTTACTGAGCCAGGTATTTAACAATACATAATAATGTTTTTTCTGGAAGAGATATGGTTGCAGACTCTACTGTAAAGTCCTTTTTAAAACTTGCTTATTAGCTAGTGATGAGCAAACTCCATAGTGTTGAAAAGATTGGTTAGCTCGGCATGATAAAATTGGCTGCACATCTGAAGAATATTTCAACTCTCTGTGTCCCTGGGACTGCAAAGCTGGATTCGAAGTTTAGATGATACACACTCTTTTGCAATGTATTTATTGTTTTACTCTATTTCCAGCCTGCAATCAAAGTGCAGGGACATGCGTGACTTTCCCTTTTTTTTTTTTTTTTTTTTTTTTTAAAGCTGTATTTTAGGAAGCAACCCATAGGGAAAAAAAACACCCTGCAGTTCAAACTTATTCAGGCCTTGGGAAAGGGTCAGCCTGAATTAAGCACGATACTTGGGCAGCAGTTTGTGTTCTCGTCCAGACTGTTTTGCCCAACCCTACTAACACCCCGTCCGTCATTCATCTAGTCAGAACTAACTGTGAACCCTGGATTGCAACAGGCTAGTGTGTGCTGCCAATTAATCTGTCAGGCTGCAGTAGTGTCTAAAGACATTGCCAGAACAACATGCCAGGCCCATTAATTCCAATGTTCTCTTCAAAACACCTCGCTTCCCCCTGAATTGTTTGACTTTACAAATACAAAGGTGTTCCATTTTCCAACTGTTTTTGTTTTCCCAATGACTTTTGCTCATAAACATTCTATCTTCCTGACAATCATATGTTTAAAAATAAATCTTTCAGGGAAGCAATACTAACATTTCAAAATGTTAGGCACTGTGCCTTTTGCAAAGCTAAGAAAATGACATGATACAGCATGATAATAAAGTGACTCCAGTCGAAAAAATTCTTTTGAGTTTCTTCCTGAAAGAAAGATCACTGTTTCCTTGCTCTGTTCCACTCTTGATGACTTTAAAAGATCAATAAACTAAAAAAAACGTTCAGATTTCACATGGCAACCAGAGACTTTGCAACTTCTATGTAGCCTAATAATGTCACTGGGTTATGTTACAGAAGAAAACAGAACAGAGAACAATGTGAATACAGAAATGCTTCCTGCGATGTGATGTCCCTGCATCTGCAATTCAAAGAATGGTTCAAATTCATGAAAGTCATTGAAGAAAGATTTTCTCGAGAGTGTTAGAAACAAGGCTAATCTGCTCAACTTTGTATGCTCACAGAGTTTAGGGAATATGAGGTTAACTTTCCTACTCCTCACATTCATTTTTGTTGCAGATCCCTTTCGCACTCCTGGTGCTCTGTCTATACCCTGACGCATCACCAGGGGAAGTGTGCAAGATGAGTTATCCTCTTGGTTTTTTCAGGAAAAGCTCATGCAGCAGAGTCAGCCTATCACAAGCAAAAGGGTTTCCATAACACTACCAGGCACAGAGATCCAGAAAGCTTGGAGAAGCTTCGAATAAGCACCTGAACTATTCAGGCATTTAGCTTTACCAAACTCTTTGATCTATTGGTTTTAACTCGGCTCTCATTTCCAAAGCAACCTGTCAGCAGTCAGAAAGTCAGGAGTAGGTTGACCTTGTACTTCTTCCAAATGGATCACAGATATATCATGGAAATCAACAGTTTTTCCTCAGGGGGGAAAAAAAAAATCTATTTACCATCAACTTCACAGTGCTAGAGTTCAACAATTTTTATGTCAGAAATCATTTTAAAACGCCACCACCAACCTAAAATGTAAAAGAACCTTTCCTCTTTTTGGGTATATCAAGGGGGAGGGGAGTTATTCTGTTGCAGACTTTTCTGGAATCACGCATAAACCTCTTAGAGAAACAGAGCCGAGAGCGCGAAGGGCACAGGCTTAACAGCTTTTCCTTTATACAGTAAACGCAGCTCTCGAAGTCGGAGGCAGTTACATTCAGAACCACGCTCCGCCGACACGATGTGATTGAGTCTTAAGGTCAGCGAATACTCCGGCATGCTGTCTGCGAGGTACGCACCGCGCGCGGCTCGTTTATCAGAGTCTGACTTAACAAGCCTACAGATGCTCTGCCGCTATCCATCTTAGGCAAAGTTTTGCATTTTGAGGTACAGCCACATCAGATGAAGTGAGATGAGCACAGGCATGATGGAAGAGGGGCTGAGAGGGAATGCCAGATGAGTGCTGAGCTCCTGGGATGCTCTGCACGGCCCCACGCTTGGAGATGGCTCTCCGGAGAACTGAAACACGGGTGAGTGGGGAGACCACCCTTCTAACACAGGGACAATTTTACTCCCTGCTGCTTCAACGTAGGGAATGACAGTATAATTCAATCAGCAGTGATAAAGTGGCAGCCAAAAAGACTTTCTCCATGACGTTGCTGTTGAAACAGAGGAAGTCAAAGCAGTCAGCTGTACTTTTCTGTATTGATACTTAGAAATGTTTAAGTATAAAGGCATTAATAAGTCTGTTCTTTCCTGAGCCTCTGCAACTGCACTTTTCCTATGAGGAAAGGCTATGAGAGTTGGAATTGTTCAACAAGGAAAAGAGAAGGTTTTGTAGTGACCTAATTGTGGCCTTCCAGTACCTGAAGGGAGCCTACAAAAAAGATGGAGAGAGACAATTTAGAAGGGTCTGGAGTGACAGGACAAAGGGGAATGGTTTCAAACTGAGAGAGAGTAGGTTTAGATTGGATATTAGGAAGAAATTCTTTACTGTGAGAGTGGTGAGGCACTGGCACGGGTTGCCCAGAGAAACTGTGGATGTCCCATCCCTGGAAGTGTTCAAGGACAGTTTAAATGGAGCTCTGAGCAACCTGGTCTAGCGGAAGGTGTCCCTGCTCATGGCAGGGGAGTTGCAAATAGATGATCTTTAAGATCCCTTCCAACCTAAGCATTAAAAGAAAAAAAAACAAATATCAAAAACCATCCACCCAAAAACCCCCTAAAAACAGAATTAGGAGAGCAGAAAGAGATCAGCAACACCCTGGTAGGATGCAAAAGCCTGACAATACATAAGCAGCATTGTGATTTCATGCCCTATGCTCTTTCCATTAAACACCCTGCAGCTTATTTTCCCCAATTCTGACGTACAGAAACACTTTTATAATTACAAAATATTCAAAAGGGGCTAAGCAACATTTCCATGTTGTTTTGCTTGAAAGCAATTGGTTGATGACTTACTGCTTTTTTTTTGATGGAAGAACCTCCTACCTTTCCTACAGAGTCTTCCAGTTTATGGAGGAAGTATTTATGGAACCTCCAAAGAAACAAAGGAGAAACCTTTTTCTTCCCTGATCCCAAATAAACTGGCAACCTGCTGACATTGCTATCCCCAGCCTCCTCTCACAGAACCACAGAAAGGTTTGAGTTGGAAGCGACCTTAAAGATCAACTAGTTCCAACCCCCTCAACACGGACACCTACATAAGAACTTCAGAAAAGAATTTCACAGTGATTTAAAGTTTATACAAAACTAGGATCTATTTATTATCACTATCTTAATTCAACAGCAAATTACATGTTCTCAAAACTGCCACCACTCCACTGTGTAAAGCTGAGGCACCATCCAGTGATAACAGGTGGGCTCAGAAGAACACCCCTTTGCTTCAGGTATGAAATACTATTCATCCTGTGTAAAATGCACAAGTCACATCTACTGCAGCCTAGCCCCAATATTTACAGAGAGAGCAGGCAAGGTTGGTCCAAACCTAGAAAGTGGTGTGAAGAATTGCCTGTGAGACCCGCCAAAAATCAGACAGGACAAAGCAGTGAAAACAAACACCAAGGAACACTTCTGCTCTTGCAGGAGAATAAACACAGGAATCTCGCTAAAGATGAAGTGATTATTTTCCTTCTAAATTTCTGAATTTTGTACCAGACCTCAGAAGGCTGAAAGACATCCTATAAACATCTTTTTTCTCTATGAAGGACTTCAGCAGAAGTGAAATGTCTATCCTAATGGTCATTTCTATTGGACTGTGGGAGAGGCTCTCTGCAGGGGCAGCAAGAACTCTGTTGACTGGATCATTTAAAATTCTAATGGGCAAACCAGAGAAGATAATACTGCAGAGAGCAATCAAACCCACAATAGCCCAATTGTTTAAAGTATAAACAGAGAGGTTTCATCAATAGCCACAATGGGATGAGAAGTTCCTAAAACTTTATTAATCAAAGAAATTCATCTGTCAGAGAAGACTGATTTGTACCACAGCTCCTAGAAATGTTCTAATTATATTTAAAAGAACAATGAAAAACACATACACACATGGAATGTGTCATGTAGAAAAAAATATATAAAAAATGACTAAGCACCACAAGTCAGACTCAGTTTTGTGGTCAGCTGCAAAAGTTACTTGGCTCTCTGTCACGGATAGCTGTCATAGTTTAACAAAACATTGATCTAAAAATGACAAGAACTTGGTTGCAGTCTCTTTCATAGAAGAAACATAAAACAAGAAGAGTCAAAACATATGTAGAACAGCCTGACCATGTTTGCCAGAACTCCTCCCACTACTACACAAGAGTGAAGCAAAACCTTGGAAGGTCTGAGAAATAAAGACATTCTGATATATTTACCTACTCCCCTCCAGCCTCACCGCTCCCATCTTGTACTGGATCATGGTACCAAAGCTCAGGGTGCACCTGAGACCACGAACATGCCTCCACTCCTGAAGGACTCCACAGTTCTTCCAGAATACTGTGAATGCTGGGCATATGGCAATGGATCCCTCCTCCCCCTCTTTGAGACATCCTTTTGGCTGGGGTATTTGGCAAGCACTGACGGTACTCTGAACTCCGTTAGAATTGTATTTTGGCAAGAGCCGTTTTTCCGATTGCATAATTCAAGGTTAGCAGCTTCACTGAAGCAGTCCACTCTTCACTTTGCTACTCCCCCCACCC